GTGTAAGAAAGGCAGGCGCATGCGCAAGAGCCCTGAGAGCTCGTGCATCGAATTGTGTGAGGCGTCGCGCTACCCCTGATGTAACCCCAACAACGTGCAGACCGTAAAGAAGACTGCTGCGCACACATGCTACGTATAGCCGGACCCGCTGTCGCAAGAGCAGCCTACGACTGCGAAGCACTCGCGCAAGTCTGTGCTTGCACTGCATGGCAGCCTTTTGCCTGTGCACAAAGGTCTGGTGCTCGAAATTTGTATAAGAAACTACCACCCCGAGATAGACAATGCTATGAACACGAGGTATAACAATCGGGGCATGTGGCGTTCCTAGTTGCAGGACGGGACCTTTGGCAGTGCGTTGTGTGTGAGCTTTAAGCCATCGCTTTGCCGCGCCACCTCGAAGCTTGAGGACGATGCGGGACTTATCCATATTTAGAGTCATGCCGAATTCCTGAAAGGTTTTGAAGGTCACTCGGATACACCTGACCAGGAATTTCAAGTCCGAGATGTCCCGTATCACCCATGAGAAATGAGTGTCGTCGGCGAAAAGCGTGGCAGCCTTCTCGGCCCATGCGCTGGAGGTGCGAGAGACCAGAACATCATAGATGTGACAGGTGTATATCGTGAAAAGTAACGGGCTTAGGGCACAGCCCTGTCTTACACCCTTGTTCATGGGGAAGGAGCCGGATTGGCCTTTATGGGCAACCTTGTAGACACATTGCATGTGCAGTGCTACGATAAGTTCTTGGAGCTCCTCTGGCACCTGTGCATGGCTCAAGGAGCTACGAAGTGCCTCTCTGGGCACTTCGTCAAACGCTCGACTGAGGTCCAAGCTTATCATGGCCCCACCAAAACACTGACTCATGACGCGACCCGCGCGTCGCTCATGAACTGTTGGCGTGGCATGTTTCATTTGGCTGCGTACATCACTACAATGCGCCAGCACCCTAGCGATGGCACCATCTATGGCTTTACCTGTGACATAGGCGAATTGTGGTCGCGAGTTGACGTAGGATGTCACATATTGTTGGAGACGCTCTCTGACTGCAATGGCGACTACCTTCGAGCTCGGATCCTGCAACCCTAGGGGCCGGAGGTCGGAGGGACGCTTACTAGTCTTATTGGGTTTAGGAAGCAGGGAAAGCTCGCAGTTTGTCATCTCGCTGGGAAAGGTNNAAATGCCTTGAGCACGAGGCGTTAAGGATCCGAGTCAGGCGCAGCGTGAACTCTTCTGGGCAAAGCTTCCAGAGCTCAGCAGGTATGCTGGTGTTGGGCACGGCTTTACCACCTTTAAGTTGCTGGATTGCTGCATG